ATAACATGTACATGGCAGTTACAAAACTTCATCTGTAAGTCTACATGTTATTCGCAAAATTTCGAAGTGTCATCAATCGTAATAGATTATGGTTCCATAATATATTCAAATGATAAAAATTGAAAAACTAAATTACTGCATACCAGCTCAATAATCTGAAGGTTAAGGACTCATCATGATACCTGACAGTTCAAAGTTTCATTCCTGATCCTTACTAATGAGGAACTTCGTAATACAAAAAGTAGACGTTCAATACCTCCTGTTTTCTAAATAATCTTTAACTAAGGTTAGTTTATAGGATTAAAAAATGTCACTTTGATTATTACCTTGGAGACACTGTTAACTACATTATGAAACAGAATACTGAAATATTTTGTTTTGAGTATATTAATTATATACAAGTATAAACTTATATTTAGTTGCCATGCATAAGCTATTATTCAAAATAAATGCTTAATCCATTATTTTACAAGAAACTAACAGTGTGAATAATTCAAAAGGTTTTTAATGGCCCGAGATCTGACTTCAATTAGATCTTATGAATGCTCGCTGTCGAAATATATATCCTGACTATTCTCGTATTTCTTTATCGAATTAATCCACGTTAGTAAAGAACGGAATTAAATAAGTCGATTACGAGAATGGATTTTGAATATCTGTGTTTCATTTATTTATTGATTTGAACAGGCAATCAAGGAATGAAGCGAAGAGAAGTACAGGAAGCAAGATGACGCACAATGGAGATGGCATGTGAGCCAACTCCATTTAATCAACTGTTAATCGATATATATAATCACACAAAAGTACGTTACAGACATGTGATGAATAGGATAAGAAGTGTGCACACAAACACTCATATAAAGACAGTCAGGGTTGATAAGAGAACAATTAACAAAGTCAAAACATTACTCAAGAAAAATGGATAAACTGGCCCATCCAAAAGCTAAAATAAGGTATATGGACTAAACATAGTAACCGACATTATAGGTCAACTTAAACTATACATTTCTACCTTCGTTGTTAATGTTATACTTTATGGGTTTGTGCCCCTATCAATGTATAACGTAACGATACATCCAATTAGAGAACAGTGATTTATCAATCGGACCAATGAGGCATAAAACACGTAAGAGCAGTCTAGAATCCTTATCAGTCCTTCTTCCTGCCTAGCACAGCCAGTTAAGTCCAGAACACCAGTCTCAGTCTCTACAATATGAATCATGTATTTCAAACATACCGCGTTTATACATAAACCAAACAGACCACATCGTACCATAAACTAGGAAATAACATTTATACAAGATTTAGCCAAATGTCACTGTGAATGTGGGAGACTGTAATGAACAGAGTGGGCATAACTCACGAACGATAAATCGTAAATAATAGTCTATGGGTCAAAATAAAGCTTTCAATACGAGGAATATGAATATGAATAGTTTAGTCATTTAACAACTATACGATAAGCAAATATACGTGTAGTATTACTCCATAAATAGATTCCACCAGTTACCATTCATTATTCTTATCGGGATATAACAGGTAATAATCAGAAACACCTTTGTTTATTATTATTATTTTAATAACTAACTTTTCATATTACCCTCCTTATACATTTTCATTCAAATAAACAATAGCAACAACAACAACAACAACCAATATTGAATTTTGTAAATGATTTCAATTAATCAATCATTTTTTTCCCCAATCAATTAACATATTTCGTAGTTATTATATTAATTAAATTATTTAATTTGTAAAACAATAAACAAACAAACAATCGAATGAAATGAATAAGAAATGAGTATCACTATAGGATTATTTTACAATAAACTACTATTTAGTTCAGTTTATTTGTTTTACTATATCGAAATGATAAATAACTTATAATTGAAATACTTAATAGAAACAAGATTATTAATATAATTGAGTTAAATAATCATGTCAAAGTCTCTATGTTATTTGGGGGAGGGAGGAGGGATGTTTTGTTGTTTGTTTGTTTAGTTGTTTTTGCACTTGATTTTGATCAGTTTACGCTTGAGTTATAAAATAACTAACCATTTAAGTAGAGTAAGTGAATAGATGTGTTGTAATGTTATAATTAGTAAATGGTTGATTGGTTGTTTTAATTTTTGTGTCTGTGTGTGTTGTACCGGTTTCTATGTTATTCATTGTTGTTACCTTTATGTTTTGCTGTTGTTGTTGCAACTTATTCCTTGTTTTTTTTGCTATTTAGTATAAACTAAGTAAAACTCATTTAATGAAATGAAATGGTTGAATAGTCTCATTAAAAAAAAGAGAAAGAAAATTAGTCATTGAACTACGGGAAATCTGATTAGTTGAACATCTTTTAAAAATGACGATGTTTTATTAGATTTTTCAAAGGTCTTGACCGATAAAACTTTAATTTTTTTGTACTAGTCATTATGTTCATGCAAATTGATCGATTTTCAATAGTAGAAACAAATTTTTCCCTGTCTTATAATACCCAAGAAGTTAGATTTAAAGTAAGCACATTCATATGACTACAAATCTAAGTCTTCTGTTAGCAGTAGTACTTCATGCTCTCAATAAAGCAATGTATAATTGAGCGAAGAAATTTCTTTTCAATTAGTTTTTCATCATGGCTCTACACTAATATATACATATATATGTTTTACAATAATAATATAATACTCATCGAGTGGATACGTTACGTAATAATTACATAATGACATTTAAATTAACATCGAGTAATTGGAAGAAAGATGATTATTAATATTCAAAGTGATCAAGAAGTTGCTACGTTGCGTAATGTAAGAAACAAAGAAGGAACAGAATTTTAACGGATAGTCATCAGGTCGAACTGAATAAAGCTTTAAAGGTTATCTGCAATATTCCATCAAATCTACCACATGGTTTACGAGTGCGCCTTTTGGACATTGCGTAATTATTACGTAACGTATCCACTCGATGAGTATTATATTATTATTGTAAAACATATATATGTATATATTAGTGTAGAGCCATGATGAAAAACTAATTGAATAGAAATTTCTTCGCTCAATTTGTTCCTTCTTTATTTACTAAATGGCAAAATGGGAATTTTCACAATGTATAATTGCATTTCATGATAATTACATAATGCGTTTATAGACTTATACAAGTTAGCCTTATTTCAGCTATAAAGATTAGGTATACCTGAAGCGGACGAGAACACAGGTGAATACGACCAATTGTATTTTAATACGAAGTCACAGAATATCTTTGTAAAATATGAGAACCATATGTTAAATGCTTCATTTGCAAATTTTCATCACTTGTCCTTCACATTCCGGATGATTCTACCAATCTACGATTCCTTTTACTTTTTACCTTCTATTCACTTGAAACTGATCTTCTTGACCTTCTGCTGCCAGAATTTTCACTTCCGTTTAGTGTTACAAAATACCCAAGTCTGTTGACATACATAGCATGCACCACATATCAATCGAATTCAGATTAAAGTTTCGCATTATAATTGTTGAATTAACTAAAACTCAAAAATGCACATTCTATGCCTGGAAGATCTGTGACATAAATATTCCAAAAATTACAGTAAAACATACTCAGTACTATTAAAAAAATTAAAATGTTTATTAATAAGCAGCTGGACCCTATCTTGTTATGAACGGGGAATTAAGAAGCCCAGACAACGATATTCGAATCCCATCCCCGTCGCCAGTTGTTATGACCTTGGATCGCTTTTACCCCGTGATACTTGTTATGACTTGGCCTTGGACTGTCTAATCTAATTATGACCTTGACGCGCTAGGCTGAGTGGCTTAACCTTGAGTCTAATACGCGTGAGTTCGATTGCCTTCTCATAAAATTTCCAAATCGAATACTTCAGACAAAGTATGCGCTAGTGAAACTTCGGAATCTCATGTACTTCTTTCTAATGTTATGTCTACATCAAAGTCTTCTGTTTCCTCTCAATTGTCGTCCGTATCTTACATAAATCATCTTCGACAAAAACATGCATGTGTATTTCAAAACAAACTGGGCTGTTATAAATTCACCAAAGTATCCTTATCACTAAAGGAAAATGCAAAGCCCATTTTCAGACCGAAACGACCAGTGCCTTATGCTGCTCTGTCAGTCGTTGACCAAGAATTGGACAGGTTAGAAGCACTAGGTGTTATTGAGCCAGTAAATTATTCATCGTGGGCTGCACCCATAGTGGTCGTGAGAAAAGCAAATGGAACTGTTCGCATATGTGCTGATTTTTCCACTGGTCTAAATAATGCTCTAGAAGATCACACGTATCCACTTCCCATACAGGAAGATTTATTCATCAAACTAAATGGAGGAAAGTATTTTGCTAAAATTGACCTGGCTGACGCATATCTCCAGATAGAAGTTGATCCAGCCTCCCAACCATTACTGACGATTAACACCCACAGAGGTCTTTACCAATATAAGCGTTTACCTTTTGGTGTGAAACCAGCACCAGCTATCTTTCAACAAATAATGGACACTATGTTGGCTAATTTGCCAGGAGTCGCTGTCTATTTGGATGATGTAATCGTTACAGGTTCCAGTAAGTCCGAGTTATTCAATCGACTCGATACTGTTTTAACCAAAATATCTGAGTGTGGATTCTATCTAAAAGAAGAGAAGTGTACATTCTTCATGAACTCGGTGAAATATCTTGGTTTTGTTTTCGACAAAAATGGACGACGCCCGGATCCGGAAAATGTACGAGCTATTCAAAATATGCCTCCCCCATCGAATGTAGCAACTCTGCGTTCCTTCCTTGGTCTTATCAGTTATTATAGTAATTTCTTGCCACAATTGCATCGCCTCCGGGCACCCATGAACCAATTATTGTCCAGTAATGTAAAATGGAATTGGTCCACTAAGTGTCAAAAATGTTTTGACGAAGTGAAGTCATTATTAACGTCGGATCTACTTCTTACATATTTTGATCCCTCGCTGGAAATCGTTGTTGCTGCAGATGCTTCTGACTATGGTATCGGTGCCGTCATATCCCATAAGTTTCCAGATGGAAAAGAAAAGGCTATCGCACATGCTTCCAGAACATTGACTTCAGCAGAACGCAAGTACAGCCAAATTGAGAAAGAAGGATTGGCATTAATTTTCGCAGTAAAAAAGTTTCACAAGATGCTGCATGGCAGAAAATTTACCTTAATCACTGATCATAAACCCCTATTATCAATTTTCGGATCTAAGAAAGGTATACCAGTTTATACCGCAAACCGCCTCCAACGATGGGCTACAATGCTATTGGGTTATGATTTCGTTATTAAATACAAATCTACCTCTGATTTTGGCCATGCTGACGCATTATCGCGCTTAATAAGCAATCATAAGCTTGAAAACGAAGATACTGTTATCGCTTCTATATCAGTGGAAGATGATGTAAGCAGAATGTTGTTTAATTCAACACAAATTCTTCCAGTGACAGCTGCTCAAATCGCTGAACACACTCGCCGCGATCCTATCTTAAGACGATTATCTACATTTATCCAGCGTGGTTGGCCCCCACGTATAACATCTCATGAACTGGAACAGTATTATCAACGACGCCAATCTTTATCTATCGTAAATGACTGTATTATGGTTGCTGATCGCGTAGTGGTTCCGTATAACTTACGCTCACTCGTCCTGAAACAACTGCATACAGCCCATCCAGGTACTGGAAGAATGAAAGCTATTGCTCGGAGTTATGTATATTGGCCTAATATCGATGAACACATCGAAGATTTCGTGCGTGCGTGCAGAAAATGTGCTGAGGTTTCTAAGTGTCCACGAAAAGCTGAACTACATTCCTGGCCATCTCCAGAAGAACCTTGGTCGCGTATACATGTTGATTTTGCTGGCCCATTCCAGGGTACGTACTTCCTCGTTTGTGTTGATGCTTATTCAAAATGGCCGGAGATTTTTCCTATAAATCAAATCACTTCGCAACATACTATCATGAAGCTACGGCAGTTATTCTCCCGTTTTGGAGTTCCAGATGTTCTCGTGACAGATAACGGCACTCAGTTTATTTCTTCCATCTTCTCAGATTTCTGCAAGAGGTTTGGAGTCAAACATGTTCGTTCACCTCCGTACCATCCACAATCGAATGGTCAGGCCGAAAGGTTTGTAGATACCTTCAAAAGAGCGCTACTGAAGGCAAAAGGGGAGGGAAAGATAGAGGAGATTCTTGATGACTTTCTCTTGGTCTATAGAACAACTCCAAACCCATCAACACCAAATCAAATGTCCCCAGCAGAAATTATGTTTGGTAGAAAAGTAAGAACTGCTCTCGATGCCATAAAACCACAGCAAATAGACATCGGAAAAAGAAACAGAAAGATGGAAAACCAATTTGATCGCCATCATGGGGCAAAACGCAGAATTTTCCAAAGAAATCAAAAAGTATACGTCCGCGATTTCCGTTATTCACCTCCACAATGGACCAGTGGACGCGTACTCAAGAGACAAGGGAACGTAATGTATGTGGTGGAAGTTGAAGGACAGAAGTGGACACGCCATGTCAACCACATACTGGAAAATGCTGGCACTTCACAGAAAACCGAGAAATTAGACTCAATGTGGAGAATCATTCTAGACAGTTTTGACATAAAATGCTCAGCGACTCAGAAGACCACGCAACCTGAACAAGGTCCTATTAGGAAAGCAACACGGAAACGCAGAAGACCAGATATTCTACAGGTAGACCCGAAGAGGAGAACATACGTTTCCGAAGGAAGATATCAATGATGATATCTCAGCACTTACCTGTATATAGTAACTAACCATATTTTTTTTTCTTTTTTTTAAGGGGGAAGGTGTTATGAACGGGGAATTAAGAAGCCCAGACAATTACGAAAGCTACTTTCTTGGGACGTCATTGCATTTCATTCAAAACCTGTAAAACACTTATATTTATTTTTGTCCCTATCTTATTCTACATAACACGAGCTTTCGTTCTATGTATCATTCACTAGCATACCCTTTTTTGTTCCAAAAATATTGTAATTTAAACATTATATTTTGCACTATATTTTCTACCCTAATTCCCTGTTTCGGGCACAACTGTATTTTTCCAAATTATCCTACGTCGTGGTCAAGATATGCACTTATTTATTCATGTACATTTTTGTAGTAATTCGAATTCAGAGAATCCAGAGTTTAGTGTTCCAACTGTCTTGTCTTCTTTCACTCGCGTGCTTGCCAACCAATCAGGATTTAGAATAGTTCTCTCTACCCCAATCGAACTCACGCGTATTAGACTCAAGGTTAAGCCACTCAGCCTAGCGCGTCAAGGTCATAATTAGATTAGACAGTCCAAGGCCAAGTCATAACAAGTATCACGGGGTAAAAGCGATCCAAGGTCATAACATATCTCTATCCAAACTATTTTTTTAACATGCATCGTTATTCTGACAGAAATTCATTGGGATATTTTAGCATTATATTTATGTATTTGATGATTCTCATTTTACATCCACACTGACACACCAAAATCATTTCCAATTTACATTCTTAGTTTTATTTCTAATAAAATCAGATTAACACTTAATTAACAATTCAAACTTACACATGCACGTACACACACAATCATCATTCATTTATCTATACACCGTGAACTTTTCATATGATTCATATATAACCAACTCATATTACCTTACCTACTAAAGCCAACTTCTGAATATGATTGAATAAGCACTTAATATATTGAGATGGTGGAGAAGATTGTAGCTCAGGTGGATGGTTTTGATGGAGTTTTGTTCTCTGGAGCTTTCATCGTTCTTCTGAAAGACATCAACTGCGGACACTCATGTGATTGGAAAAATGTGGAAATCTTGGACAGACGAAATTCCAAAAACACCAGAGAATTTTTAAAAGCTTGGCACTTAGGTCAATCAGCAATCAACAAGAACATTGAAATTGAACCAATTTATCAACCAATCAGGAAAATTATACACAAATATAGGAACAAATACCAAACCAAAGGAGGATACAACCAAAACAAAAAAGTAAACAATGACAAATTTAAGATCAACTGGAACCAATCAACATCGTGGTCTACAGGACATGCTATGAACCACATATGGAGAAATTCGAACGCTTCACTTCTATGTGAAGTTTGTTCTGATGATGTCGTTCAGAAGAACGATGAAAGCTCCATGACCAAACCATTCAACTCAGAGAACAAAACTCTACCAAAAACTTAACATATTGTTTGATCATTCTCATTATTATCCTGATGAAGTCTGGACAAATTTGTTGGACAAAATATCGGAATTATTTAAATTTTGATCATTCAGTTTATTTTAAAAATATAAATTTTCACAAATTAAATAAGCATGAATTGGTACTCTAATAATCATTTACTGTTTTGAAATCTTAAAAATTTCAATTACTCACTTATAATAATAATAAAACATTTTAAATAGTCAAATATTCTTGTTTATTCTTTTCAGAAATTATAATTTCCCAATGGATTTATAAAATTCACAATATAAGATTGTTAATAAGTAAAACAATCAGACATTGAAATGAACTCGTTTGTGTGATAGTTGATTAACTGATTTGTAATATTCATGGTTTTGATAGTTTATTTCTATAACTATCTGGAAATCTTCAGAAAAAATTTATAACAATCATAGTTTATCTAATTGTAAACACTTCAAGATTAGGATTTTTAGTATTAGTAAAAAAAAAGAAAACGTTCCACCCTTTATACCATAGAAGGATGAAATAAACTTGATCGTTTTCAAGATTTTAAAATTGATAAACAGCTTTTTGCGTAGATACAATTTATATAAGTCACCCTAAAGCAACTAATGTTTTCTAATAAATCTACAAACTTTTAATTTATTTCATGAACTCAAGCCTGAACTTTGCGTGTAGAAACGATTTGTCCAACCACTCATCTTTCCTTAGCCCTTATTCCCTTAATGGATATGTTTTTAGTTGTTTGTTTTTCTTGCATGTTCTTCGGTAGCTTTATTTGATTATTATTGAATTTTCTAAAGTTTGTTATTTTGCAATTTTCAACTCTAATCAGTTATTCTTATTACCTAATACAAGTTTTCTTGATTATTATTCAGTCGCTTTTCTTCATATTTGTCAACTGAACATATTAGCTGACCCAAAAATTATTTTCTTCCTTACCCCTTGATTAGTACGTAACCTCATTTGTTATTTAGTGTCTAACCCATTTTTGTGATGCAATCTTTTCTATCTTCTTATAGACATATATTTGCCATATATAACTATATATATACGAATGTACAGCTTAAGTAAATGATTTCGTATTTCATATTACAATCCCCTTCCTGGTCTACATAGTTGAATAAATCACTCAGTTTAATTATGTGTTAACAATAATTGTGTCATTTATAAATTGTATATCTATTTTACAGTAGATTAACTAATAGAAATGAGATGGGTTTTGTGGATATTTTAGTAATTTCAATGGTTAAGATCATGAGTCATTTGAAGCTAGACCATCATGGAAAACCTAAAAGCACTGGACGACCGTTTAGTCCTATTGTGGGACTCCTCAGCAGTACGCATCCACGACATTAGCCCCTACGAGATCCGAACCCAGGACCTACTGGTTTCGCGCGCGAGCACTTAAACACTAAACCATTGAGCCGGCCAGTATCCAACGGTGTTAATGTTTAACTTTAATTAATCCACAAAATCGAGCGGCACATCCACCATTGTCATCAGTGAGTTAATATCTCATAACAGATCTGGTTGAACTCCACTGTGGTTCCAGATTTTCTTTAGTTGTCTTGCTTCAACTGACTCATGATCTTTACCATTGTAATAGAAATGAACTAATAATTCAATCAACTTATATTCATATAAATTTAATCAGAAAATTATCTTTCCAGTTGACTAATCAATTTTTATTGTATCCAATTATCATCCATCTAATACAATCTAAGATAATAAAGCTTATATGTGAAAGCTTAAAAATTATTCTATGCCTTTTTCTCATCTCTTATCTTATATTGAAGTAAAGAAGTGTTCAATACAATAGGATAATACTTTCCTATTTAAAGTTGTTACATAAAATGAATTATCTAACAAATAATTATAGTATAGGTATCTTTAATCAAAAAGAAGCATAGATTTTATGCTTGACTAATATTATCAAAATAAGAGCTCAATTATATATAGATATATTTATGTAACCAGACAAATTTTGTATTGTTTTATTAAAATAAAAATTTTATACCTGCATAAATTCAAACCACCTATATATATATGTTTATAGAAAACTATTTTCCTAATAAAACGGTATGATTTTTAGTTAGTATTGTACTTAAATGATTATCTGTTGCTATGCAACTAAAATGATAGTTTATATAATGCACTTAAATATTCTCTAAAATATTAATAAAATGATACAATTCTTAGATGATATTGACTTGGTGATAACTTTCATCACGGATCAATATCTTTTGAAAGACCAATGAATACTAAGAGATTGTTTAGCGATACACATTCATGATTTACATATAAGATTGAACGCTAGACAATTACATTTTGTTATACTTGTGTTAGTTCTGATGAAACTGGCAAGAGAACAATGTTTAGTCAACATATCTAAATACTTTAAAAATTTTTACCATAAGCATAAGAACCTGATTTTAGCATACTAACATTTCGATCATTTTAGTTGTTAGCTGACAGTGATTAGCTAAATAATATTCCACATACTATTGTAGTTACCATTCATTATGTCTTTATAAGAAAAATAACGGATCAAGTTCGTTTTCAATAGAACTATTTTTACGTTGATCCTAACTGTCTAGAAGTGTTATTATTTAGCACTTGTTTAACTCGTTACAAATGAACTACACTGAATTTCGTAACACATATGAACCATAGTTTATGTGTGAGTAATGGAAAAAATAATACTTTTCACAAGTCGATACCCATGTAATCTAATCAAGTGATTTAAGTGGTTTCAAAACCATGTGAAGTAGTTAATAAATGAATTTGAAAGCTACTTTTCAGCTTTATCAGTTTACTTGATGATATTCTTATTTTGATCTTTCTTTCGTTAGTGATCAGTAATGACTGTTTACTATGTCTATGCCTATCAAAATAATTTATGAAAGTTATATTGAGTGTAATTAAATTATAGTATGTTCTATGATGCCGAAATACTGTTGACCTGATAATTTTCTTCATGAATGATTTAATATGTAATACAATTCTAGTGAAGTTTTGTACTCTAAGTTAGATAGTTTGGTCGTGGAGCTTTCATCGTTCTTCTAGACGACATAATCTTTACAAACTTTAAGTAGAAATGAAGTGTTCGAATTTCTTCATATGTGACTCACAGCTTGTACAGAAGTTTGTGCCGATGATGTCGTTCAGAAAAACGATGAAAGCTCTACGACCAAACCGTCCATTTCACAGAACATAACTCCATCAAAATCATCCACCTGAGGTACAAATCTTCTTCACCTTCTCAATGTAACTCTTGATATTACTTCCTCAATCGGAAATCTTTTACTTCGATATGAATGAAATTTAAATACTTTAAAAATAACACAATATTACTTATTCACTGTTGTTATTCTTCACTTTAATATTTCTATTAATATACTATAAAAAATGAACAAGACATTTAACTGGATAAAAATAATAACTTCGTGACAGTTTTAAATAAAAATATTTTCAAAACTCGTATATCTTGTATATTTTAATTAATTTGCCACTTTATACTAAAATAAACCTGAGCAATCGATTCAGCTAACAAAATGAAAAACTTTCACTCATAACAAACATGTACACATTGAATTAGCTATTATAAATAGATAAGTAGACAGATAAGTAGATAGATAGATAGTTAGATAGAAATTTTGAAGTTATCATAAATGATATGAACAAAGTAATTACAACATTTACAACTCAAAACTAACACGCTATGCTAGAATCACTTTTATTAATATAAAGTAAATAATGCAAATCATGCCCCAAATGCCCTGGTACGGCCGAGAGTGAGGAGAGTCAACTCTTACTCTACAAATGCTCTCACATGGCCACGAGAATACAGCCACTGCCACGGAAGTCCCACTCATTGCCTTCTCGCACCAACGGTGTTCTTTACGAGATCGAGAGGACAAAAGGCGAATTTCCGGAGATTTAACCCGGTTGGTGAATATGGAGAATTCACCTAGAGGAGTTGGAAAACATCGATTCCAAACCAATGGTGCACATGGGCTCTAGGACCCTAACTAAACAAATGGCGTATGAATCAATTGTTAGTTACCGACAACCATGG